CAAACACTCTATTAATGGAGATCTCTGGTATGTTCGTTATACACAATATAACAAAAGAGCGTACATATCTAACTGCGTACCAATATTTCTGATTCTGTGGCTGCGAGGGAGACGATTATAACTAACGTCGCTGGCATTTTAGGCTTCGTTTAAGGCCAGTTCACACCAGCCCCAGTGCGTTCTGGCCTGATTGGTGCCGGAGCGTTTTGGGGCGGGAGGGGGGCGTGGTGGTGCATTGAAGTCAATGGCACCGCAGCCACGCCCTCCAGTCGCAGTGCGATCGCCCGCACCGTTACATGTGGCACATCAGTGCCTGTGTTCTGGTGTAGTCAGAAAAAAACGCTTCATGGGCTGGTACGAACTAGTCCTTAACAATGCACAGTGCCGCCTCTTGTCGATAGGAGAGAGTCGTCACGTGACCTCAAACCGGGCCAGTTTATGCTGTCACAGGAGTCTGAGCTCTCCTCCCCGCACCCCTCGCTCAGCCTCCTGTGACGGCGTGTCAGAAAGGAGAGCGGGTACAAGCAGTCGGTGATCAGTGATCGCTGAGTGTCTGTACATAATTGAGGACATGGTATGGTTACTATAACCTCAGTTATGAATGAATGGGAAGAGATCTACATCACTTCCTGTTCATTCATAGTGGTGGTTATAGTAAACACAGTTATGAATGAACAGGAACACTCCTGTTCATTCATAACTTTTTTGACCCCTAATATTTCCCCGAAGCCCCTAAAAGTAAAGTAAAAAATATAAAAATGTAATAAAAAATGAATAATAATAAATATTAAAAAAATGAAAAGTTTTTAAAAAATGAAAATGAAAAACATTTTCGGTTTCGTTTTTGAAATTTCCATTTCGGTGCACCTCTAATTCCTAGCATCCCTATCACACGTGTGGGACGTAAGGGGGCAGGGCTGTAAAATAAGCAATCACTGCAAAAATGAGGTAATTTAAAACATTTACACCTCTTACCGCTGAATACTCTTGCAGAGGAGTGCTGAAGGTTCCACTTTACACATTGTTGATGTATTGTAAAACCTAACAGCTATGGAATACAGCATCTGCTAACACAGAGGACTGCCAAAGTCCAGCTGCTCTTGGCTATTAGAAGCCGGAGGATCCCACAATTTTATACTTTTATTAAAAAGATTGTATTTTTGCTGCAGTTTAAAAGATACAGAAAGTACTCGATAAAAGTGCATTAACATCCAACCAATACAAATTCAATACATGACTTACACAAGGAGGGGTCAGGCCTAGATCTTTACGCATGGGCTGCAATTCAGAGAGTGGCAAAGTTTCCTGGTTTCCGTAGTCCAGGTAAAGGACGTGAGCAATCTTCATGCTTATCTCCACATTGCACACCAGGACCCGGTACCATTGCTGAAACAAAACACGGCATGAGAAAAATGCGTCAGGGAACCAAGGAAACAGACAAACTTAAGGCGCAGGTTTAATATCTAAAAAGGAGTTTATTGAAAACAAACAAAATGGCAAGAAACAATGGAGAAAGCAGATGCCAAAGTGGGTAGTCAGCTGAATCAGGTCAGTGGCCACTGAGAGCAGGATGGTGGAGTCACAAACCAGGAGATCAGTCTGCCATACACGGAGAACAGGAACAACAGGGCCATACACTGAGAACAGGAACAGGGCCAGGGTCATACACTGAGAACAGGAACAACAGGGTCAGGGTCATACACGGAGAAAAGGAGCAGTTGTTAGATCAGAACACACGCAAGGACAGAGACTAAATGTACAACCTGATGGTTAAATAGTGAACTGGCTGTTCATCGTCATCACTCTGAGACAGGAAGGTGCCAGAAGTTTGCTAGTCGTTGCAGAATGTTTATGGGTTTGGCCATTAGAGGAATGAACAATGTCAGACACACTGCAACACAAGACAGTCTGCAGCTCGACTGGACAAGGAAGGGTAAGAAACCCTGACAAAATGCTACTCTAAGGGATATCTACTGCAACCCTACCCTAGATTAGACACCCTGAAGATGTCAGAGGATCATCTGGACAAAACCGATTGCTGGTGGTTGTTTGACTGCAAAATGTCATATGGACTGAGGAACTGAATAAGGCAAAGTTAATAAAGGCCAGGTTCACATCTACCCGTGTCCACTAATGTCCTTAATAGGAGGAAGGAGGTCCTGATCCCTCTATATAGATCTTTATTATCACTAGAGGGGTCCCCAGCAGGAGGAAGGAGGTCCTGATTCCTCTATATAGATCTTTATTATCACTAGAGGGGTCCCCAGCAGGAGGAAGGAGGTCCTGATTCCTCTATATAGATCTTTATTATCACTAGAGGGGTCCCCAGCAGGAGGAAGGAGGTCCTGATTCCTCTATATAGATCTTTATTATCACTAGAGGGGTCCCCAGCAGGAGGAAGGAGGTCCTGATTCCTCTATATAGATCTTTATTATCACTAGAGGGGTCCCCAGCAGGAGGAAGGAGGTCCTGATTCCTCTATATAGATCTTTATTATCACTAGAGGGGTCCCCAGCAGGAGGAAGGAGGTCCTGATTCCTCTATATAGATCTTTATTATCACTAGAGGGGTCCCCAGCAGGAGGAAGGAGGTCCTGATTCCTCTATATAGATCTTTATTATCACTAGAGGGGTCCCCAGCAGGAGGAAGGAGGTCCTGATTCCTCTATATAGATCTTTATTATCACTAGAGGGGTCCCCAGCAGGAGGAAGGAGGTCCTGATTCCTCTATATAGATCTTTATTATCACTAGAGGGGTCCCCAGCAGGAGGAAGGAGGTCCTGATTCCTCTATATAGATCTTTATTATCACTAGAGGGGTCCCCAGCAGGAGGAAGGAGGTCCTGATTCCTCTATATAGATCTTTATTATCACTAGAGGGGTCCCCAGCAGGAGGAAGGAGGTCCTGATTCCTCTATATAGATCTTTATTATCACTAGAGGGGTCCCCAGCAGGAGGAAGGAGGTCCTGATTCCTCTATATAGATCTTTATTATCACTAGAGGGGTCCCCAGCAGGAGGAAGGAGGTCCTGATTCCTCTATATAGATCTTTATTATCACTAGAGGGGTCCCCAGCAGGAGGAAGGAGGTCCTGATTCCTCTATATAGATCTTTATTATCACTAGAGGGGTCCCCAGCAGGAGGAAGGAGGTCCTGATTCCTCTATATAGATCTTTATTATCACTAGAGGGGTCCCCAGCAGGAGGAAGGAGGTCCTGATTCCTCTATATAGATCTTTATTATCACTAGAGGGGTCCCCAGCAGGAGGAAGGAGGTCCTGATTCCTCTATATAGATCTTTATTATCACTAGAGGGGTCCCCAGCAGGAGGAAGGAGGTCCTGATTCCTCTATATAGATCTTTATTATCACTAGAGGGGTCCCCAGCAGGAGGAAGGAGGTCCTGATTCCTCTATATAGATCTTTATTATCACTAGAGGGGTCCCCAGCAGGAGGAAGGAGGTCCTGATTCCTCTATATAGATCTTTATTATCACTAGAGGGGTCCCCAGCAGGAGGAAGGAGGTCCTGATTCCTCTATATAGATCTTTATTATCACTAGAGGGGTCCCCAGCAGGAGGAAGGAGGTCCTGATTCCTCTATATAGATCTTTATTATCACTAGAGGGGTCCCCAGCAGGAGGAAGGAGGTCCTGATTCCTCTATATAGATCTTTATTATCACTAGAGGGGTCCCCAGCAGGAGGAAGGAGGTCCTGATTCCTCTATATAGATCTTTATTATCACTAGAGGGGTCCCCAGCAGGAGGAAGGAGGTCCTGATTCCTCTATATAGATCTTTATTATCACTAGAGGGGTCCCCAGCAGGAGGAAGGAGGTCCTGATTCCTCTATATAGATCTTTATTATCACTAGAGGGGTCCCCAGCAGGAGGAAGGAGGTCCTGATTCCTCTATATAGATCTTTATTATCACTAGAGGGGTCCCCAGCAGGAGGAAGGAGGTCCTGATTCCTCTATATAGATCTTTATTATCACTAGAGGGATCCCCAGCAGGAGGGGGTGTGGGGTGCCTTTGAAGTGAATGGCATCGTAGCCACGCCCTCCGGCCGCAATGCGATCACCCGCAGGGGATCGCAGGGCACATTGCGCCTGTGGTCCGGTCAAATTAGGGCTTGCAGCATTGCGGCCGGCCCCCTCCAGCCCGTGAAAAAAAGTGAGCCGGCCCAATGCCAGGCAGTGCGTTCCGGCCAGAATCGGAACGGAACGCACTGCTTATGGTGTGAATTAATCCTAATAGTGGTTTACCTGATCCTGAGAATACTTTGCCGCACAGATCTCCCAGATTTCCGGTACATAGTCCTTCCTCAAGTTCTCTGGTGAGGAATAGATTTTACTCAATAAGACGGAAAGCTGCATGAGGGTTTCCACTGATCTTTCATCGTACTCTTGCACAAAGAAATTGCTCGGGCTTGAAAATTCTGAAACGCAACCCTGAAAAATGAAAAGAAAAGGGGATCACTTTCCAGTCGTTGTAAAACATTTACTACATACAATCACGTGAAGGAGGTAAGTAGACTCTATGAAGTTTTTAGCAGGCAAAACGGATATCCAAAACGTTGTGTACAGATAAAGGGAATATATGATAAAGGGATGACCACTTCTCCAAGCACAAGTCCATCAGTTGAACAGTGTTGGTGGGTTTCGGTTCATGAACTGCCCCTTTCAAATACCCCCACTGTGCCGCCCCAATGGGGCATAGAATATGTTATTAGCATTATTAGTAGATGAGAATTTATATAGATTGTTTCCCTATACCATTTCTATAGTCATTCTATATTTAGTTCCTATGTTGCCATCTAGTGGCCTTTTGTGGTAGTGTATGTATTTTTCAATGTTACCTTCCTTGATATCCCTGGGGTCAATGACACAGTTCCTCTTTGTGTAAGCCCCACCCTTCTTCCTGAGTGCAGTGCTTCCTGTGTCATGGCCACAGCTAACAGGCCACATGTAACTAGGACACATGTACTCTGCATAGTACGCTAGAAAAGGCATCATTTTTTGACCGCACAATACTATAACCATTCATCTGCTGTTCCTGTCATCTGCTGTAACCTTGATGTTCAGAATAAAGCACCATTTTGAATGAATCGGTATTGGCGAGTTCAGCTATCTGACAAGGATTGTCCACAGTGAGTATATCTGCTTATACAGGCCAGGCATAGAGGTCTCAGCAAGGGATATATCGCTATCACAACAATCAGAGTCAGAATACCCACAACATTTCAATGGGATTCAAATCAGGGCTTTGGCTAGACCAGCGCGTAACCCTCCATTTCCTCTGAGCCATCGCAATGGCGGACTTTTTAGTGTGCGTTGGATTGTTAGGTTAAAAGAGCCATTTCTGGTTTAACTTCAACTTTCAGACAGATGGCCTCACATTCTTCATTAACCCCTTCGTGACGGGAGACGTACACTGTACGTGACGAGTTATTTGCTGCTTTAGAGGGCTGGTAACCGCTGAGAATCAGCTTTTACCATTCATTAATGGATGCCTAACTTTAGAGGCATTCATTAATGAAAGGGTTAACCTTTTTCAGACACCCACGATACCTTAATATCGGGTGTCTGACAGTCAAAGCAGAGCGGACACACATGCTGGCTTTTTTTACCGGCATTCTGACAGCTCGTATAGATCGAGAGAGATATCTCTCTCGGATCGTATACTGCCTTTTTTTTTTACTTTCAGGAATAGATACATAATGTAATGTAATAGACACATAATGTATCTATTCCTGAAAGAAGAATGTTTCAGTTTGCTGATCATTGTTGCAACAATCAGAAAACTAGTGACAGCTGAATCCTGAACTGCTGCAGGATCAGTGTCACTAACTTATTATCGGCTGTTCTGAAGTTTGAAGCAGCCTGATAATAACCAAAAATGTATTCATTTATCAAGCAGTAATACCGTGTTTCCCCAAAAGTAAGACCTAGCACTATCTTCAGGGATTTCTGTAATAGAAGAAGACCTACCCCGAAAATAAGACCTAGTTCGGTGGTAGGTCTTATATTACAGAAATCCGCTAGGTCTTAATTTCGGGGTAGCTGCACATAAACTGATTTTTAAATGTAAAGACCGGCCGCAGCTCCCGCCCCGCCCACACACCAGCCTGCCGCAGCTCCAGCCCACACGCCAGCCGGCCGCAGCTTCTGCCCCGCCCACACGCCAGCCGCAGCTCCCGCCCATATTCACAATGACTGCTTGATATAAATAAATAAAATAACATTTTTAAGTTTAAAAAAAAGTAATAAAGTGTAAAAAAAAAGAAAATGGTGAAAAGTGTAAAAAAAAATAAATAAAAAAAAAGTGTAAAAAAAAATTAAAATAAGGGACAAATAAATGAATGTATTTATTGCATTTTTTTTTCTAGCTGTGCTGGTTTTGTAAAAAAAAAAAATACTACAAATCAAAACTGGGAAAAAAGTGTTTTTGTTTACGTTTTTTTCCTCTTTTTTTTATATTTTATTTGTCCCAAGTGAGGCGTTAGACACACATATGTGATATAAATATGTAGCCCTATCTGTCCTCTAAAAAACAATATATAATATGTGTGGGTGCACTTTGTAGGAAAGTATATCACTGACGTGGAAGAATCACACGGCAACAATGTCAAAAGTGTGTCCAGTCATTACCGAACAGAAACTAAAAACAAGCTCAGTCATGAAGGGGTTAAAGGAGAACTATGAGGGGTGTGATTTCCACTCATTAGTTGGAGACGACGTGTGGCAAAGAAGCTGTCACACGTCGGCTCAATGGATCGGGAAGTGAGCAGAAACATGCACCAATCCGCTCACTTCCCGATCATCTCCCTGCAGTGAGCGGTGATTGTCAGTCCCCGCTCACTGCAGGGATCCCCCCCACCCCCTTCCCTCTCTGATCCTCCAGTGCTGACTGGAGGAATGGACAGGGGCGGGTACAGCTGGCTCTGCCACTAGATAGGCAGAGCCAGCTGTCACTCACGCAGCTGGGTGGATCCAGACAGTTTTGTCAGGATCCGTCCCGGCTGCGGCGCTGTCGGTATATCGTGGGCAATAGCCCGCCATATACTGAGCTTTGGGTCACAGGAGGACGCTTGTATATGTCCTCCCGTGACCCAAAGAGAACTATGGGGAAAAACACTTACCTCATAGTTCTCCTAAGCACACTTTGATATGCTGAAGAATTTAGAGCTGAGTTGACTGTATTCTTGAAAGAATAGCATAAAGAGAGATCTGGCCCCATTATGGTGCCAAATGGGGACCCAACTGAAGGAATGAAAGGATCTGTTCTCCATAGAGAAAGTCCTGGGGTGAACGCCTCTAAACTGACACCAAGCAAAGTACATCTGCCACATTCCATGACAGGAAGTCTACTTTTTGCAAAGCCTAGGTATAAGATTTTCAGAGACGGGCCTGTCCCTTAGCACCTGGGCTTGAACAGCCATGCCGTTAAAGCCAGCAAGCCATGAAGCAGGGTGGTAACTTGGTCCTCAGGGCAGTAGGTCCAGAAAGTCTAGCAGAACCCACGGTGCATCTGCGAGAAGTCTGACCAGGTCAGCGTACCACCCTCTCTTGTGCCAGTCAGGGCTATGAGAACCACCAGAATGCCCTCCATCTTGATTCAGTGCAGCAGTTCAGGAAGAAACCTCAGTAGATAAAAAGGCAAAGAATTGGGTGTACGGATCCCATGGAGCCACTAGTGTATCCACTGCAGGTTCAGTGGATCCCTAAAACTGGATACAAACTTGTCCAGTTTGATGTTGTACTTGGAGGCTAGGAGGTCCACATCCTGCATCCCCTGCCTATGGTACAGGTCCTGAAATACCTCAATGGGTTTGGACCACTCTCCCAGGTCAAGGCACTGCAAGCAGAGAAAATCTGACTGCCACTTGTCCGTAGTGGGGATGTGCACAGCTGCCAGAGCTGGGAAGAAAATGTTGTGCCCGAGACAAGATTCACGCTAGCTCTTGCCACAGCGAGACTTCTTGTTCCTCCCTCATGGTTAATATATGCCACCGTGTATCGCTGTCCAAATGAATCAAGATAACCGGACAGCAGGTCAGCCAAAACACTTGACAGTCTAATCACCTGAAGCTCCAGAATGTTTAGCGGGACACTCCGGCCAATCACCAGCGAAGGGAGTGTTGAGGAATTGTAATGTTGTCATGAAGCCAGAGCTAGCCTGTGTGGCCGGAATGCTGGACGGGCACCTGTGCATGCAAGTACGCATGCGCATCGTCCTCCTACACAGAGGAGGGTGCGCGGCCGCGTGCCTCTACGTGGGCGTGCGCGCAACACGCCCGTTCCTAATGATGGCACAAAAGGGCTATTTAAAGGAAAACTATGTGGTCAGGGCTTGTCCCCATAGTTCTCCTTAGGGTAACGGGAGGACACAAACTAGCGTCCTCCCGTCACCCTAGGCTCAGTATAGAGAGAGCTACAGCTCGCGGTATACTGAGACGCCGCAGCTGAAGCGGATCCCGACAATTATGTCTGGATCCGCCCAGCTGCGTGACTGACAGCTGGCTCTGCTTATCTAGAGGCAGAGCCAGCTGTACCCACCCCCTCCCGTTCCACCAGTCAGCGCTGGCGTTTCGGAGCGGGTGAATCCAGCCCCTCCCCTGTCACGGCAGAGAGCCGCGACAGGATCGAGAGGTGAGCGAACCCGGTATGTGTTCGCTCACCTCCCGATCTACTGAGCCGACCTGTGACAGTCTCATTGTCACAGGTCGGCTAGAACTATGAGGGGAGTGAAAAGCACTCCCCTCATAGTTCTCCTTTAAGGCTGAGACACCCAGACCTCCCTGCTGACTGATCTTCAGCTATTACCTTGTTCGATCTCCTGCTACCAACCTGGCCTGCTTTACCTTGCTCCTTGACCTCGGCTCGTCTTTGACCTCTCTCCTGCCTGCTCCCTGGATACCACGCTGCCTGCAAATTACCGACCCGGCCTGTCCCCGACTACGTCCTGCCTTCCGATTCTGTACTTCGCTGTCAGATTGTTGATGACCCGGCTTGTGTTACTTTGCTTCCAGGATCTTGTAAACCAACCTGCATCCTGCACAGGAACCTCTGCAACCTGCACTTGTGCCACTCCATGTCCTCACGCACCTGTTCCCACCATCCAGGGGTGTTTGGACTGGAGCAGCAAGAGAGGCCGCCCTCGTCATCTCAGGCTCCCCCTAAGGTACGTGACAAATGTCTTTGAAATGCAGTCACTTCCATTAGGTAATTTTGTGGCCAGGCTTCAGCCTGCTAAGAGCTTTAGACTAAAGCCATATATAGGTCCTGTCAGGGGCATAACTAGAAATCACAGGGCCCCATAGCAAAATTTTGTACGGGGCCCCGTGATTACTAGTTATGCCACTTGCAGAGCCCCAGCGGAGAGTGACCCTGCAGAGCCCACCATAGACTCTCTATAGTGGGCTCTGCAGGGTCTGAGATCTCTTAGCTGTCAGCAACCTCTGTGGTCGCCGGGTCCCACCTCCTGTTCCGTCCCCTCTGCTATCGACGGGCCCCGCCTCCTCCATTCCGAACACCGCCCTCATCTGCCGCAGCGGCTGGCTGTCACTGACACAGCTCCGCAGCAGCTATGAGGGGAAATGCGCCGTGGCCGCTGCTGAGCTGTGTCTGTGACAGCCAGCACCCCCACATGCCATAGCGACCCAGGCCGGGCCCCCCTGTGCCCGGGCCCCATAGCGGCCGCCTGGGTCGCTATGGCGATTGTTACGCCCCTGGGTCCTGTGGTTGTTGATGTGACCTTTACACTATGCAAGACACCAATTTAGGGAATTTATATTTCTGCCTTAAAACCACATCAGGCTGAGCGCTATAACGTATAAAGCAATCACCTGCAACTCTTTTCCTTCACTGAGGGTCTCCACCTTTAAGTCACACAGCATGACCCTGCCTCCATCCTCTTCTTTATTCCTGGGTGTAGGAACTGGAGTATCAGGAGGCTGCGGAAAAAAAAAGGATAATTCAATGCACAGCATACACTGAAAGATCAGGGATAGAAGTCACAAAAAACGAGGAGGAAACAAAATGGGAAGAAAGGACCAAATGCAATGCTGTCTGCGGCAATCCAATGTTACGAAGATATCAGTCCTTAGATGTGGCGGCTGCATTAGTTTATATACATTTTGTATTTTAGACAATGGAGCTCTTCCAGCCTTGTGGTCACAGTTTGGTGAAGACCCTTTTCTGTTGCACCATGACTGTCCCCTGTGTACAAAGCCAGCTCCATAAAGACATGGGGTGACCAGCTTGGTGGAGGAACTCCAGTGTCCCGCACAGAGCCCGGACCTCAACCCTACTGAACACCTTTGGGATGAATCAGAATGATTATAAGTCAGGTCTTCTCATCCAACATCAGGACCTCACAAATGGGACCAATTCCCACAGACATACTATAACATCTTGTGGAAAAAGTTGATGTAGCCACAGAAAGGGGGCAACTTCATATTTATTGCCATAAGGTGGTGGTGGTGAGGTTAACTCCATGGTTTTGATGCCCAACAATCTCATAACAACCTGATGACTAGGTGTCCATATAGTGTACAAGAGCATTGGGGGGGGGGGCCATAAAAACCTCCGGTGACCGCAGCCTACACCTATCCTCTTCAGTGAGCTGGGGTGCAACGGCTTCCTCTATAGGTCTTATTGGAAAAGCCGTCTACTTGCAGGAACCAATGAAGCTGGCATATGCAACAGCCAAAAGGAGGAGTCTTTGTAATATCCCATTCACACAGAATACCGATGTACCCCAAAATTCAATGGGTGCTGGAACAACTGGTGGATGGCGCCACAATACACAATCTAGAAGATATGTTGTCCTTTCTATTCATATGCCTTTGGCGTGACATGTGACTGCAACGTTTCGGAGTGACACTTTGCCTGACGGAGGGGTCCCGTGAGGCTCCGAAATGTTGCAGTCACATGTCACGCTAAAGGCATATGAATAGAAAGGACATTCTGAAGCAGAATGGTGTGCGGACAACTTATCTTCTACATAGCCAAAGGAGGAGGTCACCAGCTGATCCGGCATCACTGGTAGGGGGGTATACACTGTATGGAATAGGGAGGGCAGTTGGCCTTTAATTCTGGTTTACCATGTGGAGAGGACATGACCTCACAAGTGTCTGGTGAAGGAGGTGACATAGGAAGCTGTAACGCTGCAGGTTCTGAATAACAGGGTCATAGAATGTGTGTGAATTGCATACACTGTACTCTGGCAGATAGAAGAACGATATTTATTGGTTTGGCCAAGTTCCACTATACGAGCTTTTAATTAGTTTAGTACAGGATGTTCATCACAGTGCTGTAGCCTTGGCACTCCGAGATTGTTTGCAAACAACATGATGTCATCTAGACTGCCCTGTGATGGAGAAACAACCACATTTGTTCGTGTCCTCCCGTTACCCTAAGGAGAACTATGGGGAAAAGCCCTGACCCCATAGTTCTCCTTTAAGGCAACTGGACTTGCTGTATGTTTCTTGAAGACGTTTCGCCGGACATCCGACCAGCTTTCTCAATTCAGAAGTGAGAAAGCCGGTCGGATGTCCAGTGAAATGTCTTCAAGTAAAACACAGCAAGTCCAGTTGCCTTGACTTATGTTTTACAGATAGACCATGACCTGGATGAATGAGAACCTTCACACACATATTCTCACAATGTGCATTAAAAGTTGCAGCAAGTCCGATAGAGCCCGCCTCATTTCCTGGCTTGAGGACGTAAAGCATCATCTAGCTTTCTAGCATTAGTCATTCAATCATGGAGGAGACGTGGGCATTACCTAGGGGGTTCATGCAGATACAGTGTGCCCAGAAATGCTTCTCCAGACTGAAACCCACCCAACAAGGCATTTTTCTATTTACATAACTCCTCCCAAAAGCCCGCCCACTGCTTGCATTAGCACTGAGGGCTCTTCACAGGAGTACTGGAGGTCGGGTGCTGTGATGTTTTCAGGAAGCAATGCACAGCACCCTGCCGGCCCCTCCAACCAGCCATGATCTGCCTGCATTGCATAGAGAAACACAAACAGAAATGACATCACTGGGTCTAAAATAAGGTATGTCATGAAAACAGAAAGGTCATTATGTTGATGAGGGGGGGACCAGGGAAGGCAACATATAAGCAGAAAACTTCAGCTTTAAAAACACAGAGCAACATGTAAAAAGGGAAATCGGATAAAATGAGAAGACTGCGACGACAGCAGGACTCTAATCTGGACAGACGTCACACTCACCGATTAATACACTTTATAAAAATCATCATGTCCTCCATCTCGCCTGTCAGCATGAGATTAGAGCTGAACACTGAACAAACTACGCAGCTGGAATACATGGATGTCAACGGATCTCCCTGCCAAATATTTGTAATTCTTCTCATCTACTCCGGCGATTCCCACACTCCCACCGCACCGCACATCCGTGACCTCTCTCCGTCCAAGGGTACACACACACAGCTCTCGGTCACCCTCCCGTTACACTGACTGGACTATAGAGCCAGCACAATGAGAATGTTCCCCTTCCATTCATGTCTCACCAACGCCTAGACGTTATTTGTGTACTTACATTGGACATATAACTGGCTTAAAGAGTTATGGAATGAAGCCAAACTGCAGCCAAAACTTTTTCTTTAAGTCTTCGAGTACGAGTCAAAATGTATTTTATTCTGCAGAAAACACAAACTAGGATTTTTGCACTTAAAATCGGTTTCCTTTAAAGTTCATTAACGGACACAGGATTAAATTATGCAAAACCAACTGGGTTATACTGCCACCTGCAGGAGAATTTGGATACTGGCAAAGCCATGACCGCCAAAAAGTAGAACTATGAGGGGAGTAAAAATCACTCAGCCTCATAGTTCTAGCCGACCTGTGACAATGAAACTGTCACACGTCGGCTCAATAGATCGGGAGGTGAGAGAACACATACCGTTCCTCGTTCACTTCTCGATCCTGTCCCTGCCGAGAGCCGTGACTGTCACTCACGGCTCCCGCAAGGGATTCCCCCCCTTCCCTGCTCCTCCAGCGCTGACTGGCAGAACAGACGGGGGAGGGTACAGCTGGCTCTGCCTCTAGATAGGCAGAGCCAGCTGTCAATCACGCAGCTGGGAGGATCTCGACAGTAATGTCGGGATCCGTCCCGGCTGCGGCGGTCTCAGTATACCGTGAGCTGTAGCTCCCTATATACTGAGCTTTGGGTCACAAGACGACACTAGTTTAAGTCCTCCCATTACCCTCAGGAGAACTATGGGGAAAAACACTTACCCCATAGTTCTCCTTTAAATTATGCAAAGACAATTGGGTTACACTGCCACCTACAGGAGAATTTGGATACTGGCAAAGCCATGACGTTAAAGCAAGCGACCGTGAAGCAGGACGGTGAACCTGTCCTTGGGATAGGAGATCATGTCGGCCTGGAAAAGTCCACGGGGGGGGGGTCTACAAAAAGTTTGTTCAGTTCGGAATACCACATCCACCTGAACCAATTCAAAGCTATGATGATCACAAGAATGCCCTCCATCTTGCAGAGTAGATGAGATAGGAGTTTCACAAGAAGAAAGGCATAGACCAGGCTGTACTAATCCCATGGAGTCACCAGAGCATCTACTGCTTCTGCAATGGGATCTTTGCAGCTGAAGACACCGGTCCAGTTTGATGTTGAACCTGGAAGCGAGGAGGTCTGCATCCAGTGTCCCACGTGTGACACAGGCACAGAGACACCTCTGGGAGTACGGACCATTCAAATCTTACTATGTGTGTGGGGGAAACAAAAACACGGGGGTCCTTGGTAAACATTCAGAGTTCCTTTGTGCCAATTTTTTAAGGAATTAAGTTACTAAACGTGCGATGGATACTTCATGTTACCTTTGAAAATGCTTTTGAATCTCCATCTTTATTCAATGGTTTCTCTCCATTAGTCACTTTCCTAAAATGAACAATTTGCCAAAATTATTAACAAGATCGGAAATACATCGAACCCCCCATCCTAAAAATAATAGGAATGGACAAAGCTAAAAAAGGGAAATGTATAGTAGTACATATCTTTACCACATTTATAAAGTGTCAGAAAGCCAGAGCCAGAGTGTCGCCGTCTGCGCATGTTGCGGACCATAGAGCTGGCGTCTTTGCGTAGACGTGTGCGCGTGCACGCCGACGTGTCATTTGAACATTTGGCGCCAACTGGGCTATAAAGGCTGCGTTCAGCTATCCTCCTATGCTGTCAGATTATCAGCTTTCTGTGTTCCTGTATCCTGATTACCCGTTACTGACCCGGCCGGCTTGGACTACCCTCTGCTGTTGCTTGCTCCCTGAAGACCCCGGCCTGTTTTTGACCTTGATTCTGCCTCACCCCTTGTACTACGTTGCTAGCTCATTGATGACCTCGGCCTGCTTGACGATCCTTCTGCCTTGTGTTCTGCTTCTAGCTTCCTCAGCTCATCTGATCTAGAGCCTTCTTGATCCACTTTCGGTGCATCCATATCCTGCTTCCTGCCTGGATCTACGCACTTCATCTCGTCTCACAGACGCAACAGGCTAACCAGCCTCTGGCTCCCTTGCCCCTCTGTGCCCCTGTACCCAATCCAGGTGCTCCGGGACCGGAGTTGTGAGAGAGGCCACCCTCGTCAACTCAGACTCCAAGGTACGTGACACTAAGACTTAAAGGAGAACTATGGGGTCAGTGTTTAGCCCCATAGTTCTCCTTAGGGTAACGGGAGGACACAAACTAGCGTCCCCCCATCACCCTAAGCTCAGTATATAGGGAGCTACAGCTCGCGGTATACTGAGACGCCGCAGCCGGAGCGGATCCCAACGTAGAGGACGGGATCTGCCCAGCTGCGTGAGTGACAGCTGGCTCTGCCTATCTAGAGGCAGAGCCAGCTGTACCCGCCCCCTCCCCCGTCCGTTCCGCCAGTCAGTGCTGGCGGATCGGAGCGGGGAATCCAGCCCCTCCCCTGTCACAGCAGAGAGCCGTGACAGGATCGAGAGGCGAGCGAACGCCGGTATGTGTTCTCTCACCTCCCGATTTACTGAGCCGAACAGTGACAGTCTCATTGTCACAGGTCGGCTAGAACTATGAGGTGATCAAAAGCACCCCCCTCTCCCCCCCTCATAGTTCTCCTTTAAGACTATATGACTGCAAAATTATTTTCCTAAGAGTCCATTGAGGGACACAGAAGTCTTACAAACTGTAGGCCAGCCCTGCGCATAACTGCTCCTACTACCAGCATGCCTCAGTAGTAGCAAAGCAGTACCAAGAGCAGGACCATAAAACACAGATGGGTGGGACCGGTGTCTCTCATTGGACTCCAAGAAAAAGAATTGATGGCGAGTACAAAAATCCTATTTTTTTAATCTCGTTCTTTGAGGAAAGAAGGAAGTCTAAAATCTTTGGGACACCAAAAATCAGCTAAACTTGGGCAATGCGGCAACAATCACTACCAGGTCCAATATAAAAAAAACAGATAACTGGGGGCTGCCTACAGCTGAAAGATTTGCCTTAGGGCCCATTCACACCACATCCCGATCATCTCCAGACCAAATGCATCCTAATGTATCCCTATGCTATTTCTGACCTCTGTTCAGTGCAGTCCGTTCCAGACCAGACAAATACTGCACGTCTCATTTTGTCTGGTCTGGAATACACAGGAACTGCGGTCAGGGTCACACCACTTTCCGGACCAGATCTGGACAAAATGAGACATGCGGTATTTTTCTGATCTGATCCTGAACTGCGCTGGTGTGAACAGAGACCAGAAATAGCATATATATATATGTCCCCAGGTGGCTCCGTCGGCTAACGAAGGGAAGGGGGGAGGAGTCCGGTGACGTCGATGTCCCCAGGTGGCTCCGTCGGCTAACGTAGGGAAGGGGGGAGGAGTCCGGTGACGTCGATGTCCCCAGGTGGCTCCGTCGGCTAACGTAGGGAAGGGGGGAGGAGTCCGGTGACGTCGATGTCCCCAGGTGGCTCCGTCGGCTAACGAAGGGAAGAGGGGAGGAGTCCGGTGACGTCGATGTCCCCAGGTGGCTCCGTCGGCTAACGAAGGGAAGGAGTCCGATGACGTCACCGGACTCCTCCTCCCTTCGTTAGCTGACGGAGCCACTTGGGCCGGTGAGTTTGCACAAAAAAACTTTCTGCACGAGCCAAGGCAAGGATCACGCTAATCCAGCACGTTATTATTCGGAGTTGCCCCACTCAAGCGGCAGCCATATTGAGTGGGGCACGTGAGATTAACAATGTGCTGGATTGGTGTGATCCTCGTGCATTGTATTACTTCATTGCTGTGCTGTATGTGTATAGGCCGGTGTAGTTGGATCTCTATCTGCGTTATAATTCATCGAAATGAATCGATTTAAAAAAAATTTCGATTAATCGAACACGAAAATTTTAATCAGTAACAACCCTAAAATATAAATAGGATACATTAGGATGCATTTTGGGTCTGGAGATAATCTGGATGTGGTGTGAATGGGCCCTAAAAGGACTTTACACCCGAAGCTGGCAACAGAGGAGGCCGCAACATCCACCTGGTTGAACTTAGGGCCTGTTCACATGATATCAGGTCCTGATCTGCAGACGCGGTGCTACTGATGCAGTGCGTTTTTGCAGCGTTTTTGATGCGTTCAGCAAAAAATAGTTTTTTTTTAAACTGGGAGTGGGGCTGTCAGTATGTTAGCTGCAGTGCAGTGCGTTTTTGACGCGTTTTCGGACAGGACAAAATGTGACATGCAGTATTTTTCTATCGTAACCTGAACGGACTGCGCACGTGAGAACTGTAGCCCATAAAACACATAGCACATGGGGATGCATTTTTAGTGCAGGAGCGTACGGACGGACGTCGTGTGAACAGGCCCTTAGAGAGCTTGTGAACATGGGGGAGGGTCTGTGCTCATTACAATCAGCTGGTGGACTTTGTGTTGTAATGAGGAAAGTTGCAGTGTCGGCATTCAGGGCTTGTTCACACCAAGCGCGGAGCAGATCCAGAGCAGAGGAGGTGCAGACCGGATCAAAACTGCGTCCAATGTATTCCTATGGTACCGTATATACTCGAGTATAAGCCGAGATTTTCAGCCATTTTTTTGGCTGAAAAGTGCCCCCCTCGGCTTATACTCGAGTCAGCGCCAGCGCGTCTTTTTACTTACCTCGCCGAGCGTCGCGTCACTGCTGCTCCGGTGGGCGGCGCTCCGAGCGGGGTCATCTGGCAGTCTCCGGGTCCTTTGTCACTAACTTATTCTATCTGAAACCCTCAACCTATAATCTAGACCGCATTATCTAACCAATAACTGCCGTACCACAGCCATACCCCTCGCACCATAAACCAGATACATGGTCCGTGTCAAATACCCCTGATCCATCTTAAAAACCGGACTCCTCTGCAATCCCTCCACCCCGGGGATCAGAGTGATCACTCACGTAATGGTTGGTTTACACACAACGGAGTGCGACTTCCAATCCTGAATCTGGCAATCCTCGGAGCAGTAGTAGGTCATGTGACATCTAGAACACCTACGGGACCCTGCACAGAAAATAGGGGGTTGTCAGTCACGCAGCTGGGCGGATCCAGACATAATTGTCGGGATCCGCTTCAGCTGCGGCGTCTCAGTATACAGCGAGCTGAGGCGTCTCAGTATATAGGAAGCTAGAGCTCGCAGGAAACTGAGCCTAGGGTGACGGGAGGACGCTAGTTTGTGTCCTCCCGTTACCCTAATGAGAACTATGGGGAAAAGCCCTGACACCATAGTTCTCCTTTAATCACAAAGTCCCATGCAAATAATGCACTGCACCACGCAAATGCACCTACTGCTTGTTCTAGTGTGGGAGGTGCATTGTGTTGCCATTAATTTGAATGGCACCCCAAACGAACCTCCCACCCACAGTCCGATCGCCTGCACCCTAATGCCACGCATTCCATTGCAGTGTGACTCGGGTCGCGACTTAATGACCAAGGACAAAGGTGGGTCCTGAGGCAACAGGTTGAGAACCTCTGGTATAAAGAATCAGTGCAAAAAAAGGCGTGTTAACATACATTACAGCATGCAAATTAAAAAAGTGCATTTAGAATGCATGATAACATGCAAAGAATGCAAACTGAAGCACAAGTTCAGAAGCAGATGGTCCACAGAGAAGGAGCAGGGGTCAGATAACACCTTGATCCATTCTGTACCTAATGGGCTCTAAACACGCAGTGTACTGTACACCCAGCCGAGCCCAGCTACCAACTGTAATGACCCCCAGCTGACTTATATGCATCCAGGTGGATGTATGGTCGCCACGCCACGCCACGAGTGGTCTGTTCCGAGTCGACCTGTCAGTTTTTCAATCGGATCCCCAATGCTAGTCTATAGGCAGCCATGTGTAAATCGACAGGCGTCCCATTTACACCCAACTCCGGCCCGGTCCTGTAAAACAAATGGAACAGAGTTCCGTTTCGCCTGATCGTCCCGGATCCGGGGTAATCTGATGTGAACGGACGCCTGTCCACTTACATCCGTCTCCCCATAAACCGACATGGAGTCTGGCAGCCTTAATTATTTCCTCCAGAGCAAGATGCAGGACAAAAACTGGGGGGGACAGGAATGCCACAGCGGTGACATCCCATCCGTACTTCTCCGAACGGATCCACACCTGATCAGCCCGTGTGAAAGGCACCTTAAGGAGGTCACAAGCATATTGAGGGTCAGGGAATGAAGTTCACAATGATAAATGTTTGCAGACTTACCAAACAAACCGCAGTTGTGGCAGCTTGTCTGTCTCGTTTGAGGTTTCCTGCTGTCAAAGATGGCCGGATCATTGCCGATTACCAAGGAGTCACCAATAGGTATTTTGTGCTGCTTCTCAGTGACGGGCTGAGCTCTGCTCCTTGTGTTCTGCATGGGGAAAAAAGATCCATCGTTCATTGCAGCCACAGGTCAGAGAAGCTTCTAATATAAGATTATAGTATACACAGGAACATTGGCTACATGCGTCTATCTTGGCCTATATAGGAGAGAGGAGGACCAGGTAAGGGTTGGCTTATCCTGTGGAAAACAGCAGCAAAGTTCTTCCTGGCCAATCATGTCGGCCTCTGGGAGAGCCCGGCCACAAGATGTTGGTAAGTACCTATCATTAATAACGGGACAACTGTTCTAACGTGTCTGTAAGTACCTTTACTATGGCCATGCATGCAATGATCTCACTGCACCATATGGCCAAACCTTGGTGGACACTTGACCATCACCACCTATGTGACCTTGTTGGACATCCAAGTCCAAGACCATGGGTATCATTATCAAATCGACCTCCATTGCCGCTGTAACAGCCTCCACTCTTCTGGGAAGGCTGCCACATGCGTGTCTGTGGGAATCTGCAACCATTCGGGAGGTCAGGTACTGACATGGTCTAAAAGGTGAACTCGGCCTTTAACCAGTTGACATACGCGGTGTTACACCCCCTTCCCATCCAGGCCATTTTTCAGTATTCAGCGCTGCGGTACTTTGACTGACATTTATTCCGTCATGCAACGCTGCACTGAAATCACATATAGGCGATCGGCGGGCTATGGACCCGCTGATCGCCTATATGTGAAACACCCGGTAACGGGTGTGTGCAACGGTCGGGTCTTTTCTGCCCGTGCATGCCCGCCAGGGGGCGCGCGCGAGCAGAAAAAAAATTGCCGTCTGGAGACGGCAACCCGCAAATGCAGCAGTGCCGTCCGTCCGTTTTTTTACTACGGGCGGACTGCAAGAGGTTAATCTGATCATGTAAAGAACGACTGTAACATAGACGTTAGGCTGGTGATTATCCGAGCATCACATCCTTACCAGACAATGAACATACAATGAAACTCTTCCATATATATGGAACTATTAGGGTGATAAATAACATACAAATATAACATCATAAAAAGATTTTTTTATTGCTCATAAAACTTAAAAATAAATAAAACGCTCCGTGCTGTTATATGTAACCGATGTCTCTATTATAACTCTAAATAAAACCTTAAAAGGAGAACTATGAGGTGAGTGAAAATCACCTCACAGTTCTACCCGGCGTGTGACAATGAGACTGTCACAGGTCGGCTCAATAGATCGGGAAGTGAGAGAACACATACCGGCACTCACTCACCTCCCTGCAGAGAGCCGTGACCGTCACTCACGGCTCCCTGCTGGGATACCTCCCCTCTCCGATCCCCCAGCGCTGACTGGCGGGAACGGACAGGGGAGGGGGCTGGTACAGCTGGCTCTGCCTCTAGATTGACAGCTGGCTCTGCCTCTCACACAGCTGGGTGGATCCAGACAGAATTGTCGGGATCCGCCACGGATGCGGCGTCTCAGTATACCGCGAGCTGTAGCTCCCTATATACTGAGCTTAGGGTGACGGGAGGACGCTAGTTTGTGTCCTCCTGTTACCCTAAGGAGAACTATGGGGAAAAACACTGACCCCCATAGTTCTCCTTTAAACACCCCCTTGCTCAGGAAACTCCCCTCCAACTAGATTGTAAGCTCTCAAAATCAGGGCCTTTCTAACCCTCTTGTCCGAAATTGTATTGTCTTGTAAGTGCTGCACAATTAATAATAGAAGAGATCTTTACGATTATATAGATCAGGAGTTACCGTACTTCCATTAATTAAGCTGATTCCTGCAGTGGGATGAAGATAACTCAACATGTTTCCCGGATCATAAATCGGCTTCATCAGGAGATACAGGAGGTGTATCTGTGTCACAAGAACCATCTGCTCATCCATACCCCAGGACTGCAGAGAGAACTGTGGAAATCAGGGGTGCCCATTAGATAGACTGATATACCAGTCATTAGGAAAGCTTTTGCTGGTAGATCGCAATCACAAGTCCGCTCGCTGTCCCGAGCTCCCTTCCACAGTGCTAGTGCCGCCGAATGCGAGACGGGGAGGGGGATCCATGACGCATTCGGCCGCACTAACACCGCGGGAGGACAGGACAGTGCATGTGAGGGAAGAGGCGGGAAGCTGCTGCAGTGCAGGTAAGGAAAGACAGCCAGGAAAAAGAGTGAGCGGGCAGAGACAGCCAGGAAAAAGAGCAATCGGGGAGAGACAGCCGGGGGCAGAGACAGCCAGGAAAAAGAGCAAGCGGGGAGAGACAGCCAGGAAAAAGAGCAAGCGGGGAGAGACAGCCGGGGGCAGAGCCAAGGAGAGACAGCCGGGGGCAGGG